GGTATTTTTGATTAGCCCATCGGCACATGATGCCAAATGGCTCAAAAATTGGTAAAAAAAATCGTGTTTTTTCCCGGTCTAAGCGTATGTATTCGTCTTAGAGTTAATTTTAAGACCTTGTAATTAATTATTTCTTGTGCCTGGGTATATACTTCGACTTCTTGAATCGTCCACAGACGGCCATGGAGCTTTTTTCATCAAATTTCCCTGAAGAAACGTGAAAGAGGTTGTTCCAAAAACGCCGATTTTGGCCCCCCCCGGATTTGGCCCAAACTTTGCTCAGATGTTGTACTAAGTGTCCCCGATGCTTGGGCAAAATTTCAGCCCCCTCGGATAATTAGGGGAGAGGGAGCAGGGGGGCAAAGTTGCAATGTTTTTAAAACTTTAAAAATCGATATCTCGCGAACGGTTTGAGTGTAAGTGTTGCGGTTTGCGCTAAAAAACGTTAAAAAATATTCTCTACAAGAATATTAATGCTGTTAGCAAGGTTGCGTAATTAATCGCGTTCATAAATCGATTTTTTCAATTTTGACGTTTCGACTTTTTTTAAATTTTCGTCCCTCCTCTCTTTGGAATCGTTGCTACGTGAATGAAAACCTGTTGAGGTGATTCTCCATAAAATTCTGCATCTACCACACTTTGTTTGACCTTGTTGAGGAAACGATTCGTTCGTGAGTTACAGCGATTTTTCTGCGCGTTACCGGTTACGCGCGGGCGGCATATTGGCGGCGCTTCATCCCGCGCGGGCAAGGCAGAGGTTGTTTCACCGCTAGGGCCTCATATTCATGCTGTAGGCTGTAATTATCGATATTTTCTCCTCCCCCCACCCTTCCCCTCCAATAAATATATTTTCAATTCTTCGTTATACAGGGTATGCCAAACCACCCGTAACAGGTCTTTTTCTCGGTTGGTTTAGGTAGTACGAAGTGGGGGACCGCGGGGTTGAATAGGGAATGAACCCCAAGGAATCCGAATCTTTTTCCGGAGAATCTACGTCAATTTGCGCCCAAAAGTTATGTATTCAAGACGGGGACATCGGCCCCATCCATAATTTCCCTTTGGTCAAAAATTGATGTAGATTCTCCCGAAAAAGATGATTTCCTGGGTAATCGACCCCAAGGAATCCGATTTTCATGGTCCCGAGGCCCCCCTAGCCACCCTTGGGGGGTAAGAGGGGGAGGCACAATGTCTCCCGACTTTTTGGATCGTGACCCCCCTTTTTACCTCCCAATGGGGGCATGGGGGGTTTCGGGGCCGTGAAATTCGGATTCCTTGGGGTTCATTCCCTATGCAACCCCGCGGTCCCCCACTTCGTACTATCTAAACCAACCGAGAAAAAGACCTGTTACGGGTGGTCTGGCATACCCTGTATAACGAAGTATTGAAAAAATATTTATTGGAGGGGAAGGGTGGGGGAAGGAGAAAATATCGATAATTACAGCCTACAGCATGAATATAAGGCCCTGGCAGTGAAACAACCTCTGCCTTGCCCGCGCGGGATGGAGCGCCGCCGATATGCCGCCCGCGTGTAACCGGTAATGCGCAGAAAAATCGCTGTAACTCACGAACGAATCGTTTCCTCTACAAGGTCAAACAAAGTGTGGTAGATGCAGAATTTTATGGAGAATCACCTCAACAGGTTTTCATTCACGTAGCAACGATTCCAAAGAGAGGAGGGACGAAAATTTAAAAAAAGTCGAAACGTCAAAATTGAAAAAATCGATTTATGAACGCGATAAATTACGCAACCTTGGAAACAGCATTAATATTCTTGTAGAGAATACTTTTTAACGTTTTTTAGCGCAAACCGCAACACTTACACTCAAACCGTTCGCAAGATATCGATTTTTAAAGTTTTAAAAACATTGCAACTTTGCCCCCCTGCCCCCTGCCCCCTCTCCCTTAACTATCCGAGGGGGCTGAAATTTTGCCCAAGCATCGGGGACACTTAGTACAACATGTGAGCAAAGTTTGGGCCAAATCCAGGGGGGGGGGGCAAAATCGGCGTTTTTGGAACAACCTCTTTTCGACCGTTTTGACCATTCTATATGGGGCTGACCATTTGAGTGGTCCTCCCTTTCAAATTTTTCGATTTGATATCGTCTGACTCTACAAGAAGTTTAGATATAGTCAAAAAGGAATGGGGGAAAAGATATTTTTGAAAAAAATTAATTATTAATGGACGCCTCCGAGATGTTTGGACGCGGCGACGCCGCGGAAAATCGTACTTTTCGGCCGATCCCCGTATCTTTTTGAACTTGATGCCATCGCTCTAAACCATTCATAATGCAGACTGAAACACATTTATGCGTTCTTCTATATGGTATGAATAGTTGTCCTCCAGATTTTAAGACTAAGATATATCTTCGCCGAAAGAGGGGCGAAAACGCAATTGCCACCGCGGCCCTGCCGCTTTATTTTTTTAACTCTGGAAAATATGAAGAATTTACTTTGATTTAGGGGTAAAGCACGATTTCACTGATAGTTTTTCATGAAGCTCTTCTTTATTTCAGTTGCATTTTGCGAATGTCAAGTAATCACCAGAAGTTTGCGCAGAGATTCTTTCGAGCGTGTGATGTGCCTTACGAGTGTAGATCCACAACCAAAACCGTTCTACAAATAGATTTCACATGTAGCAACTTTTATCACAAAGTTTCGACAAGAGCTACCGTGAAAAATATTCCTAGGTATGAATGTTTAACTTTGAGTTACTTACCTAATTAAAATCTTGAACTAGGATCTTAAATCTTATCTATCATTTGGAATTATTTTGAGTCTCAATTAATCATTTGGTTTCAGGATACTTTCATCTATAGTTTTGACAACTGGGTGGCTTTCTTAGTTCACTGGTGACCTGCAGAATTTTAATTAGCTTTGAAGATTTAATCTTATTACAAAGTCTTTTCAGGAAACCCCTTTCAGATAAAATGACAATAAAGACGAATGTCAACTTCAATACCCATCAAGTTAGCAAAAATTGCAGATGGAAGTATTCTGAAACCAAGATTCAATATTCTAGTTCAAGATTTTAATGAGGTAAGTAACTCAAAGTTAAACATTCATACCTCAGAATGTTTTTTACAGTAGCTCTTGTCGAAACTTTTTGATAAAAGTTGCTACGTGTGAAATCTATTTGTAGAATGGTTCCGGTTGTGAATCTTCGCTCGCAAGGCTCATCACATGCTCGAAAAAACCTCTGTGCAAACTTCTGGCGATTACTTGACATTTTGGAAAAGTAAAATGCGAATGAAATAAAAAAGAACTTCATGAAAAATTATCAGTGAAATCGTGATTTACCCCAACATCAAAGTAAGCAACGTGGACCAATGCTTAGTAGCGAATGATTTTTTTTTTTAATTTTCTTAGGATGGCAACACTGGTAATTAAAATGGTGCTAGGTTGACTATTTTTTCTCAAAGCTAGTCTTAAGAACAGTATCAATAATATGCACTTGAAAAGTGTTATGGTAAGGAATGCAGGGTTGATAAAATATTCAGTGAAGTTCATAAATTGTTGAACGATACCTTTGTATTTTTTGGAGCTGCAGTCAAAATACCACTGCAAACGAACGGGTTACAGTGAGTACTGTTTCCCAGGTGAAGAAGTAGTTCTTTACAAGTGTCAGTTTTGAGGAAATTGGGGCTAAAAAGCAAATTATCGAGCTCTTTTATACAGGTCAGGTTAGGTTAGCAGGGCCTAGTGCACCACTCCCAATAGCTGCTGTCCACCCTCGTGGAAATAGAGGAGGTCGTTTTACCTTTCTCCTCACGTCATTCCTAGAAACAGAAATAGAAGAGTCGACAAGTCGAAGCTTGAATGTAAGCATCAAAAAAAAAAAAAAAAGATTGAGTAGCTACTGCTTAAGAATGGCTCTCGAGTTTCAGCAAAGGCATTGTAGAATGTATATCTTAATATATAAATCCAAAACAATATTTCAAGGAATTTTGAAAGGTTAGAGGCGGAATGTAAAAGTGGGAACTTTAGAAAACAGTAAAAAAAAAATAGTCAGTATTTTATCTAGATAATCAAACTTTTTACAAAAATATAAAAAAAATTGTTTCCTTGAAGGAACAGTACGTTAAGATTGAGCTTGGTTTCGACAATCAGAATCAGCCCATCAATATGGGTTATTTATGTGACTTTCGAAAATTGCCGATTCAAACCTACAGTAAGTAATTTTTCTTGCTCCAACTCCACTCTGAAGACACAGCAACATTTGGAACTAAGTTGTAGCCCCTTACCTGAATTTTACGTTTTTTCCAATGGAGTTCTCATGAAAACTGTCAAAGTTTGAAGTGTCAAAAGCTCAGCATATCCGACGTTGCCTTACATACCAGCATTCTGCAATGAGCCTCCTTGAGATTTTCAAACAACGGTAGGTGTCCTCGTTATACCCGCAATAACATTTGTCATGGTTTACCTGCCTCTGAAAAGTTGTGAGAGATGATAGTTTCCAATGAATAAAATCGACTAGGTAGTGGAAACACCATTTTCAGATGGCCTAAAGACTTCAAAAAGGCTCAGAAAGTCAGCTTGTCAACATCTTTATGCCTAAAAAATCTGACTAGACCGTCAACAATCAACATCTTAACAATTTTGATTTCTTTGAGCTTTAAGTGGAAGAAAATTGTCAGTTTTAATTGGCTCTTTAGCAGGTCACGCGTATCTTGCGTCTGGAAGGTCACAAACTTCCTTACAAGTGTTCCTGTGTTCTCACAGTGTAAAGTTTGAAAATGTAAAATGACTCGAAAATTCCGGAGGGTTTTTTTTTTTTACTTTTCGGCAAAAATTGTCGTAGAAATGCAAATTTTTCACTACTATGCTCAAGAAGAGCTCATTAGGATGCTGATGGAATCAGCAGCGAAGTACTGTTTCAATATCTTCTATAGTTTGCTCAGAGCAGGCCAACTCTCAGTTTTTTGGGACAGTCTCATTATATATTTTGTAATTTCATTAATTTTCAAGAGATAAAATTACCTTTTTCTCTTTTCCTGACACAGGTTCTTGTTGACATTCATGATTTAGTTGGTGCAAAGCAGGTTTTGTTGAAGGCTTATAAGTTGAAGAATCCATATCCGAAGGATCGAGAAGAAATCGCAAGAAAAGCTAAAATAGGTGATTTTGTGCATCATTTATCCAATTGCATCTCATGCATGTACAAGTCGCTTTTATGGCGCGCTAAGGCGCTCTGCAACACCTACCCGCCACGGGAATCTGTCATGGTAGAGATCTTCGAGAAGCTGGCACATCTCTTGACGGGTGCCCTCTACCCACCATTTGGCAAGGCGCCCTTTCCGATGCTTACCTGGAGGGACCCACTTCAACACCTTCAACGGCAACTTGGTATCAGCCATCCTCTGCACATGCCCATACCATACAAATTGCTTGATCATAATATCGTGCACAATGGGGTAGTTGCATGCAGCTGGATTTTTAGATCTGATGACTGTTCCCAGCAGAAATTTTCGCGAAAAAACCGTTTTTCGCATTTGCAAGTTCCAAAATTGAGTCAAAAGCTTCGTAAAAGCTCGATGAAAAGTCGCAAAATCGCATTAAGAAATAAACGATTTCCACTGGCTATGACGTCAGTTGGTATACACGGCCCCGCCCACCGCCATCATCCCTATCTCGACCGTGTGTTTACCAAGCCGAAGCATGATCTGTTGTGCTATTCAAAGTGTCTAAATTATCTTTTTCCCCCGGAAAATTCTGTCGGCAATCATGCCTTTGAAGAGCTTTTTCTCAAAGTTCTGATGACCGGAAATTTTGTTAAAAATTACCTCAATACTCAGTAGACCTCAAACTTTTAGAAATTGAATTGAAAAAAACCGGCGCTTCGCTTCGCTCCGCGCCGGTTTTTGGGGGGGGCTTCGCCCCCCCAAGCCGCCCCAGGACGCGCGCTTCGCGCGCGTCTTTTCAGCGTCGTCTGCACATCTAGTTTTTCTTCTTTAAGTGTCCCGCGCATCCACCGCGGGAAGAAAGTGTATTTCCCGAAGTGGAATTTTTGTAGTCATAAATTCGTACGTCTGTAAGTCATTGTGTAATGGATAGTTTTTTTCCAGATATTTCCTTTCCTTGGGCCGCTGTGCGACGAACAGTTCGTCCGAAAACTTTCTTCACCTGACCCACTGTGCGACGGGCAGTTTGTCCAAAATCTTCCTTCCCCTGAACCACTGAGCGACGAAGAGCTTGACCCACAGTGCGACGAAAATTTTGTCCAAAAACTTCCTCCCCCTGACCCACTGTGCGACGAAAATTTTGTCCAAAAACTTCTTCTCCCTGACCCACTGTGCGACGAAAATTTTGTCCAAAAACTTCTTCCCTCTGACCCACTGTGCGACGATCAGCTTGTCCAAAAACTTTCTCCCCCGACCCACTGTGCGGCCCTGCTCCGGCCGGCTCCCCTCGTGCCGCGCACCACTCGCCTAAAACTTTCAAAGCTCGCCATTTTTAAACGGCTCGGCCGATTTGGCTCAAATTCAATACCAAACCAGTCCTATGGAAGAACTACCACCCATAAAAATTTCAGCTCAAAATATTCATTTTCGCTCGAGTTATCGAGTGGACAAGATTTGCCCTCCCCCCACTTTCTAGCCCCACCCCTCAAAATCTATTGCCTCAAATTTCAATTTTTTTTCGCAGAATAGTAGTTCTAATGAGTCTCTACTAAATGCAAAAAAAAATGGTCAAAATATCTTTCAACCTAAGAAATATATAACCACTCAAAAATCGAAAAATCTTCAAAAGGCGGAAATACATACATACATACATATATACATACATATATATAGATACATACATACATATATATATATATCTATATATATACACGCGAATTTGAATGGCATATATTTTCGTGATCTACGACCCGTGATCGGTGCTCTTCACAATGTCTCAGGTCTGGGTCCGACATCATGGGAGAATGCAATAGTGTATTTTCTTCGGAAAATACACTAAAAATTCCATGCAACCACCCCATTGTCCCCTTACACCCCATTATCTCCCGGATACGTTCATTCCTGATACGTTCTCTCCTTGAGATTACAGCCTATCTTTGCCAGAAATCCATCTCAGTCCTTGAGCATTTCTTGGGTCCGCTTCTTCAACTGCCACACTTCAGTGCCATAGGTTATTATAGGTTTGACAACCGAGTTATGAATCCTCTTTTGGTTGTCCTCGGAGATTCTTTAGTCCCAAAGAACCCCATTCAGCATGGCGATGGGTTTTCTTCCTTGAAGATTACGGTCCCAAATGGCCTGACCCAACTTCCTATCCGAAGTCAGTTTCACCCCCAGGTACTTGTATTGTTCGCACTTGTAGTTGTATTGTTCATCTGTTGACCATCTTCCAGGACTGTACTTTGCTAAGCTCCCTCGACTGACATCTTTTTCATCTTACAGACACAAACCTCGAGTCCCCACTTGCGGTACTCCTCAACCAACTTCCGGGTTATACACTTCTTGGTGTCACCATGATTTTGACTTTTGGCTACCTGGTCGTCGGCAAAGCGTAGCGTGAACGGTGTTTCTTGGTCATTCAATGGAACGCCCATTTCGGAACACTTTCTTTTCCATTCCATCAGAACGTGCTCTAGATATATCCTAAATAGAGTCGGTAACAGACAACACCCCCACTTAAGCCCCTTGGTGACATAAAAACTGTCTGAAAGCCTACCTTGACTCTTGATTCTGGCAAAAGCCCCCCGATAAGTCTTTTACCAAAACCAGTTTCCTCTAGGACTTCCCAAAGTTTCACAAGAGGAACACTATCAGAAGCCTTTTGAATACCCAAAAAAACTTAATAGAGGTTCTGACCAACAATCATCTTCTTTTCGGTCAACTGGGTGATACAGAACAGATGATCAGCGGTAGATCGACCAGCCCTAAAACCTGCTTACTCCTCCGTCTCAAACGGGGTCCACTCCTCTGTCTCAAACGGAGTCCACTCCTCTTTGATCTCCGCTTTGAACTCTTTACCATACTTTTAATTTATCGTTCCTGTTACCGCTAACCCCCTGTATAGTCAGGAGGCATACGTAACAAAACATATGTCCTGTGTGCAAGTTCGTGAAGGCATATTGTGTCGTACATCAATCTCTTCGTTTTGATTTCTAAAAAAAGAAAATTGATGATGGCCGTCTCAAATTTCATGCAAACTCCCCCAAATTCAAGATGGCGCCCAAAATAGCGGTTTTGGGGTGAAAAAATTTGAAGTTTCCAAATACGCCGTGTCAGGTGTCGATTCTTATGTATTTTGGATCGTAGAATCCGAATTTTCCGAATTCGACTCGAGGTCATTTACTGGTCAAAATCCAAGATGGCGGCCAAAAATACCACTCAGGGGTACTAATTTGCCTATCCGGGTGTAGACGCATAGTGAGGTATCAATCATTAGGTTTTCAGGGTCGTAAAGTCCGCAAATGAGGTTCACTTTTCGCTGCGGCTCTCAAGAAACCCTAAAATCAAATATGGCGCCCAAAATGGCCACCGGTTTTACGGCTGAAACACCAATTTAGCGCAGCTATGACAATCAATACGTTCAAAATTAAGGTTCATGGGTCAAGGAGTTCGAAAAGGAGATCAAATGTTTACTCCCTTAAAAAATGAGCAAAAAATCGTAGAATTGAAGTATTTCAGGGCACAGGCCCAAAAACGAGTCTTATCTGAACCCCATCTTGGGCAAATCTCTTAATATCAATAGTCATTTACCGATCTGCGCCTCTAGGTGGCAACCATGTTGGTAGCCATTCTCGATTCGGAGGCTTAATTTTTTATGGGAGTAAACATTTGATCTCCTTTTCGAACTCCTTGACCCATAGACCATAATTTTGAACGTATTGTTTGTCAAAGCTGTGCTAAATTGGTGTTTCAGCCGTAAAACCGGTGGCCATTTTGGGCGCCATATTTGATTTTAGGGTTTCTTGAGAGCCGCAGCGAAAAGTGAACCTCATTTGCGGACTCTACGACCCTGAAAACCTAATGATTGATACCTCACTATGCGTCTACACCCGGATAGGCAAATTAGTACCCCTGAGTGGTATTTTTGGCCGCCATCTTGGTTTTTGGCCAGTAAATGACCCCGAGTCGGATTCGGAAAATTCGGATTCTACGATCCATAATACATTAAAATCGACACCTGACACGGCATATTTGGAATCTTCAAATTTTTTCACCCCAAAACCGCTATTTTGGGCGCCATCTTGAATTTGGGGGGGGGTGCATGAAATATGAGATGGCCATCATCAGTTTCCTTTTTCCAGAAATCAAAACGAAGAGATTGATGCATGACACAATATGCCTTCATGAACTTGCACACAGGAATACGTAAACCCCCTGACTAGTAGTTCTCACAGTCATATTTCCTTCCTTTTTTATGAGATGCTGTTATCCAGGCCTTTTTCCATTCTTCCGAGACCTTATCACCGTCGATGCATTTTTGCAGCAGATCCTTAAGATGATGAACCGATTTGCCAGTCCCACCTTTCATTAACTTGACTGGAATGTTTCCTGGCCCAAGAGCTCTTCCACTCCTCAATTCCGTGATTGCTTTGACCACTTCATCCACTTGAATTTCTACTGCGTGATCCTCGATTATATTTTTCACATTCCCCGTTTAAAACTCTGGTTGTCTTGCCGTCGATAATTTACTAAAATGTTCGTCAAGCTGCGAGATTGTTATCGGAGATAAAACGTCCCGTTTTACGTCCCCTCTAAGAACTTTGATCAGCTTCCAGCTTTCAACACTCTTCCTTCCACTCAGATATGTGTCAACCCTTGAGCAGTTGTCATCCCAAGATTAGTTTTTCTTCCCGGTTATTCCATGACGAACCCTCGCCTGAGCTTTCCTATATGCACCGCAGGTGTCTATGGTCTTGAAAGCCAGATAGTCATGATACTTCCTATGCTTTTCGTCTATTACCTCCTTTACCTTTTTGTCCCACTAGTAAGGTTTTTTGCACATCCTTACTCTCATCACACATACCCAGGAAGGCTTCCTTTGCAGCTGAATGTATTCAACTTTTGATGAACTGGTACCACTCTTCGGCACTATCGAAAGTTTCTACTCTCAGTTTCTCATCCAACCGCTTTCTGTAGAGCGCTTTCACGCTTTCATGCTGTCAACTATCGATGTTGTTGCACACTTGTTCTATCTTCACTCTTTGTATCTGGCACTTCTGATGCTGCAAGATATCCCTCTGCAGCCCATACTTATCCGCAAATGCAACCTTGAGAAAATGGTGATCACTACCACAGGAGAACCTCCTGCACACTTTCACTTGTTAAACCTTCATTTGCCTGGTAGTCGCGTAGTCGATGATTGACTTCAGCCCTCGAGTTTGCTGAACTCAAGTGTACTTATGGATATCTCGATGTTGGTTAAATTGGTGCAGTATTTTCAACTTGTTTTGCTCACACAGATGAATGATGTGCGCACCGTTGTCATCCACCACCTCTTCACCAAAGGTCCAACGACTTTAGAAGCATTCTTTCGTACCATTCAAATCACCCATGATAATGACCTCCCTTGTCTTTCCAACCCTCAGCACAGCACTTCATTGTTGAGTTGCTCCAAGAACTGATCCTTTAGATTGACGGGAGCATCATCATTCACACCATATACTCCTAACAGGGCCACTTTATGACCATGCACTGTAAGATGCATTCTGATGATCCGCTGGTCTACTGCTTTCCAAGTAGTTATGGACGAATGCAAACTCTCCCGAATAAGTATGGCGACTCCTTGCTGTGCGTGTTGATCTTTACTGACACCACTGTAGGACAGATCATAGCATCCGAAGTTTTCTGATCCTGTGCCTTTCTTTCTAGTTTCTGTTAACACAGCAATATCTGCATTATACTTATTTATCTCCAATACAACCCCTTTCAATTTCTTAGAAGTTCCCTGTACATTCCACAACCCAAAAAACCATAGTCCGTTTTCGTAGTTTTTGTCGCAAAATCTGTTTTTTCCACGTTCAGCAAGGGTGTTTATGTTAGGCTTTCTAACAGTAAGTTTTTTTTCCGGTTATCGAGGGGTTAGCCCGATGCCCCAACCCCCAACCTGGAAGACTAGGGTTTGATTTTGGAGTACCATCTCCCAGACAGGCCGCTTTCACCACAGCTACGAGCCCTGTCTGCCCCTCTGATGGATGGTTCATACGCTATGAAGCCAGTAACCATCTCCACCCACCACCCCCCTTTGAGGCAGGGGCTACCAGCTGGGGTCCGCAGGATTGTTAAGCCTGCGACAGTACTGAGTGCAGTCCCCCATACGATATAATTCTTCTCATATTTTTTGAAATTACCCTCTCCCTCTGAAAAAACTAACAATTTGTAAAGCAGGTGTTTCAGATTTACTCTAGGAAACCATATAGTATCCTTGGAAGAGGCTGTTATCTCCAGAGAGAGCGAGAGCGCCCCCAGGGTGGCAAATAAGGAAATTTTCATCACATATGTACAGATACCCAAAATATTACCCGCTCAGGGCTCTTACTTGGAATGGAAGCAGCATATCTAGGAAAAAGCACCCCGAAATCAAACGCTGGTCCACCAGGTTGAGGGTTGTGTCATTTTTTGACATCAACTGACTTTTGTCACACAGTGGGTCTCAGGAAATAAGTTCTTGCACGAACTATCTTCAAATATTGATTCAATGAAGATGTTGCATGTGTGAGGAATTTGCGATTTGACTGTTGATTCTTTTGTAAAAGTTTGAGAGAAACACGATGGTGCCACTGGTTTTCTCTGAAATCAACTCCCAAGCTCAAAAAAAGCTCTCAAGTTGCGGCCAAAATGGAGGGGATATCCCACCCTACCATGAGAGTCCATGTCTACATCAAGACAAACTCTCCATGTAAAGATGGGGAGCAAATACATTGACACGGCTGCCACTTGATTTGGGGACTCCAAAACTAAAAACACGGCAACCCTGCTAATGTATTTGCTCCCCATCTTTGCATGGAGAGTTTGTCTTGATGTAGACGTGGACTCTCAGGGTAGGGTGGGATATCCCCTCCATTTTGGTCTCAACTTGAGAACTTTTTTTGAGCTTGGGAGTTGATTTCAGAAAAACCAGTAGCACCATCAGGTTTCTCGCAAACTTTTACTTAAGAAGCGACAGTCAAATTGCAAATTCCTCACACATGCAACATCTCCATTGAAGAATTATGACTGGTAATCAAAACTACCACTGAATTGATGAACTTTCCTTTTGAAAATACACTTTCTCTGTGGCGAAAGCACAGGTTATTCAAAATGACCCCCCCCCCAAAAAAAAAAAAAACACTAAAAGAACTTATCTCAATTAAAAATGCTTGCACCCTAGAGTAGAATCAAATAAGTTTTGCTCTTGGAGCCATCGTTTCTTAAAAAAGTGACTTTAGTTATTTTAAAACTTTAGCATGTTTTCTGAAGTCCTCATACTCTTGGAAAGTCGATTTTAATAGTGGTCAATCTTCGTTTTCAACAGAAATTTTTTTTTTGGCCTCGTTTATCACTGGAAGTTAAATTTTTTGTCCGTACCGTAGACCAACTAAACAGGCTTGTTTTCCTATCAATACGTGCGATAATAATACCGTTTTAAGTTTTTTTGCACTCATAGAGCTATATTCTTGTAGAAGAATAACCCAAAATATCCTTCAAAGTTTTTACCTTCAAAATTTAGCCCCCAAATTGCTCTAAAGTCCGATTTCTAGAATTTTGCGCCATCATTTTTCTCCTAAAAAAGCCAGGAAATGTAATTAAACGCTTAATTTTAATTAATTTCTTTAGAACTAACTTAGAAGATGTGGTAGCCAACTTTTTTAAAGAATTTCTACAGGTTTGCTCTTTTTAAAGCTACAAATTGTACAATTTTTTACTGGTCTACGGTACAGGACAAACGGGCTACGGTAAGGACGAAGAGGCATTCGTAAATATTACTGTATGCAAGGGCCTAATTATTTTAGAACTGAAATTCATTGGGGAAGAAACTGCTAAGTTATAGCATAGCTTATAAGTGCCACCTTTATAAATAATTACAGGCAATAAAGGTAAAAAGAGTAATTAAATAAGTTTTTCAAAAATAATGAACTGCTTTTATTTTAAAGTAAACGCATTAAATAATTAGGGACAAATCTTAGAAGCTGAGTTCTTAAAACAAGCTTGACAACGTTAGAACGTTTTAGATGCACTTTTACAAAATAAGAAAGAAAACAAAAAGGTAAATTTATCGAAAATGTGGTCACAAATCACCTTAAATAAATATTTAACGGACAATGAGAAAAAAATAAGTTAGATATTAACGAATAAATATTAAACGAATAAATTGCTATGAACTTCAGACGAAAAAGAGGACTCAAAGTTCTAAAAGAAAAAATGAAAAAAATAAAAAGATGGCGATCCTTATGCAATCATCGAAAAAAAAGCCTCCTTCTTCTAAGTCGCGTCGTACTAAAAAAAAATACGTCTCTCTTTTTTTTTAAATTCCAAATTTTGGTAATAGATAAAATAAAGTAAAGTGGGATGATCTATCAAACAGCGCACCGATTTTTGGATGACTTTCGCATTTTGTCCGTACTTACCGTAGACCCGGCCGCATCGCGCGTCAGCTACGGGCTACGGTACCGGACGGCTACGGGCTACGGTACGGACGGCTACGGTGCGGACAAATCGTGTGATTATTGGCAGCGGTGCTCGGGCATATTCACGCATGTGGTTGAAATTCTGGATTTGAGGTTAAGATATCAGAACGTATCAAAAAATACCAAAATTCGAGAGTTTGAAGTGATTTATGCATTAAAAAGGGAGGTATACGGTAAGGACATCCTAGATGGTCGTTAAACCTAGAAACTCATAAAAAATGGTCAAAATTTACTGTTTCATTGCGGTTTTTTTTTTCTCTGCTCGACATCAGCGTGTGATAGTCACGATAACGCAAAAAAAGTAAACAAAGTTCATAAAAGCTGCACTCTATCGGACGAAATGATGCTGAAAAAAGGGGGCTACGGTACAGGACGCGAATTCCGCAGACAAGGCTGCTTGACGCAAAGACGGTCAATATATTCACTTATTTGGATGAATATAACTGAAAATAATAAGTTAGGTACAAGTTGAGTGTGAATTTACAGCAGAAGTGGAAGTATTTAGATGCAAGATGATGGTTATGAAGCGTTAAAGTTGCGCACTTGAGTCGCAGACAGGCTACGGTACAGGACATTTCAGCTGTTTAGGGCCAAAATTCTGATATTAAATGGCAAAAACTGCCTAAAACGATGATGGTACCTGATTAAGCGTAAAATTTTGAACAAATTTAAAAAAAAAAAAGGTCAGATTTTTCTATTTTGAAGGGCTAAAAAGTTGGGAGACATGGTAGAGCAAAACTTATTTGATTCTACTCCCTAGGGGGTGGAGGTCCTTCATTAAAGCGGTGCCAGCACCGTTTTTTTTTAAAATTTTGATTCATTGTATTTCTGCCAAGTATTGCTGAGAGTATAGCTGAAGTATCTGCGGAACCTCTGAAAGTACATTCATTTTTCCTTTGATATTTCCTCTTATATGATCGAAGAATGATTTCCTTTGTTAATTATTTCTTATCAATAAATTATGAATCTAAATTTTACTCCCTATTTGTCTCTAGTTGTTGCAATGTGTGATGCTGAAGACAAACTTATCTCCACGTCTGTTGATGACTTCAAAGTTAGAAAAGAATTGCATGAAAAAATTGCTGATGGATTTGTTGCCCTAACCAACTATTCAAAGGCGATTGACCACTATAAAAAAATGCTACAGGTAGGATGAGATTACTTTAGTTCTTCTGGTTTAACATTAACGAGGAATCATGAACAATCCTGACAGCTGTCTTTCTATTGTAGAGCAGCATGAATATATCTCGCAAAGCTATTAATTGTTTGCAAAGCTCAAAACCGGCAAAATGAATCGCTCATGAGTGAATTGTTCTTTCACTTTATTTACCTGTCTCTCTTGTACAACCAATGACTCACCAGTTGCATATGCAGGGTGTCTCAGAAGTCCGTACCCCCCTCCCACCCTCTAAAATTTTCCCTAATTGAGCCATTGAAACGAAACTTGGGGAATGTGTATATATCAAGGAGAACTACTTACTACGTATATCCGATTTTTTTTTTTTGGGGGGGGGCACCCTACTTTTTTTCCAAATAGCAACCCCTCCCCCGTGTGATACCTTGTTCAAAACATTATGTAAAAAGATTTTTCTTTCGTGCAATCCGCAAGTCGCCATCTTTATGTTTTTCAAGATGGCGGCCAAAAATGGTAAGAAATTGCCATTTTAGCTGTTTGTCAACGGATTTATCTGTCACTCAGTATCATGGCTTTCTTTAAGACGAGAAAAACGAATTTGGTGAAATTCATTAAGGGGCTAGTCTACCCAAGATTTCATCATTTTTCAATTTTTTTTTTTTTTTTGTACTCTTCAGTAGTACTTTTTCTAGAAAACACGAAAAAGCAGCCTTCAGATTCATGTTTAGGCCAGTATTAGACCGCCAATTAGACCGAAAATGACCAAATCATGATACATTCCGTAAAATGTAGACTTCCGATGAGCAAAATATCGTAACATTGAAGACTTTCAGGATATGGGCCCAAAAACGGCCCTTATCAAAACCCCTGCTGTGGCAAATCCCTTAATATCAATTGTCATTTACCGGTCTGTGCCTCAAGCTGGCAACCATGTTGGCAGCCATTTTCAATTCGGAGGCTTAATTTTTTATGGGAGTAAACATTTGATATCTTATTCGAACTCCTTGACCCATAAAACTAAATTTTGAACGTATTGTTTATCACAGCTGCGCTGAATAGGTGTTGCAGTCGTAAAACCGGTGGCCGTTTTGGGCGTCATATTTGATTTTAGGGTTTCTTGAGAGTCCAGCAAAAAATGAACATCATTTTCGGACTCTACGACCCAGAAAACCTAGTAATTGACACCTCACTATGCATCTACATCCGGATAGGCAAATTAGTACCCCTGAATGGTATTTTTGGCCGCCATCTTGGATGTTGGCCTGAAAATGACCCAAAAATTAACTTTCGACTAAAATCTCGGATTCTACGATCCAAAGTACATAAGAATCGACACATGACACGACGTATTTGTAAACTTCAAATTTCTTTACCCCAAAATTGCCATTTTGGCCGCCATCCTGAATGGGGGGGGGGGGGTTTGCATGAAATTTGAAATGGCCATCAACATCAATTTTCTTTTTCTAGACATCAAAACGAAGAGATTGATGTATGACACAATATGTCTTCACGAACCTGCGCACGGGAATACGTATGCCCTCTGACTAAGAAGAGAGCAGAACAGAGGGTTTGGCCCTCATCAAGTGTGAAACCCATGGTTCAAGGTTTGAAGGAAAAGCCCTGCCAGGAATCTATATCTGGGTTGAAGGTCTGGTTCAAGACCTTTCTCTTGAAAAAAATCTCAACACTAGATGATTGCATCTAATTATTTGGTGCACACCTGTCTTTTTTCGAGGGTTTCGTATTGAGGAAACAGCAATCAATTTCTTATCCAAGAGAATCATCACTCAGGAGACTCTGGACCAAACTCTTTCTTCTGAGCTAGTTTCCCGCCGAGGTTTTGCGGAAAAATTCAATGACGCTTGGAGCAAGTTGCTTTAGAGGGGCAACTTTGTTTGCATTTGTCCGTACGGCGAGTTCAGGTCATTTCTTTGTGGCGCTGCACTCTGTGAATGAAGTGGAACCAGGACCCTGGCGCAAGGTGATAAATTCGTGGAGACTGTCTGGCCTTGCACACCTATTATTGAGATCTTTACCGCTTCTGCTCTAATTAATTTTGTGTGCTGCTCTGTTAAATTATTGTTTCTTGCTGCACTATAATCTGTTTTATTTCAGTGTGCAGAAAGTCTAGGTCAGACCGGCAAGGACCTAATACCATGCTACGTATCTCTGTCTCAAACTTACAAAGATAATAAACAATATGATCTTGCCTACAAATATTTTGAAAAAGAGCTTCTTATTAATTTGGATAATGCCTTAGAAGTAAGTATGCTGACTGAAATTTACGCTCATTTTTCTGCACACAAATTTTCTCTCCTTGGAAAGAGGTTGTTCAAAAAACGTCAATTTTGCCCCCCCCCCCCTCCCCTTAACTTGGCCCAAACTTTGTACGGGTGTTGTACTGAGTGCTTCTGATGCCTGTGCAAAATTTCCCTGAAATTTGCCGCAAGGGGCGGCTACCCTTTCGGCCCCACAGGGAAATCTGAGCCTGAATTTAGCATTGTGATTACTCGTGTCCCGAAGGTGTTATCTGACACTCAACAAAGAAAAGTATGTCATGAAAAACTTAAATTTTTCCATTAAAAATATTAATATAAAAGCAAGCTGCCAAGTTAAAAACGTTTGGAATTCCTTGTCTCTCAAAGAGTAGTGATATGATATTGAGTGAATGCTTGTTATTTGGTTTTTTTGTTTTGCCAAAAATATTTCAGCATCTTACTGGAATAAAACCTCCTGAAAATAAAGGTAGGTTTACTTAAAGCGATATCGTCTTTTGGGGTCAAAACATCAATTGTAATTTTAGTGCCTCTTAAAGAAAGAGGTTGTTCAAAAACCGCCGATCTTGCCCCCCCCCCCCCCCCCCCCCCCCCCCCCCCCCCCCCCCCCCCCCCCCCCCCCCCCCCCCCCCCCCCCCCCCCCCCCCNGGGGGGGGGGGGGGGGGGGGGGGGGGCAAAGTGAGCACTTAGGCAAAACTGTAAAAATCGATATTTCGGGGGTGGTGTGAGTGTAAGTGTTGCGGTTTGTGCTAGAAACGTCTACAAATATTCTCTACAAGTGCACTAATGCTGTTTTGATGGTTGCATAATTTATCTTAGTTATACCTAATTCGATTTTATCAATTTTGACAGTTTGACTCTTTTAGCGCATTTTCCGAAGAAAATACACCATTGTATTCTCCCATGATATCAGGCCCAGACTTGAGACCTTGTGAAGAGAATCGATCTCGGGTCGTAATCACGAAAATGAATGCCATTCAAATTCATGTGTATTTATACATATGTGTATGCATGTATGTAAAATGAAATAAGTAACTAACCGACTGTATATGTGTATGTAGGTATGTATGGATGGGAAAGTTAATACCTGGAATGTTGATCGTGTTTAACATTGGTCTTAAGGGGATCAACAAAGTGGACCAGCTAACCATGGATACATACAAAATCGCAAAAACTGAAAAAGAGGGTTAAAATGTCAATTTTTAGGTCAGGTTAAGTAAGGTTTCCTCTATGATCAACAACTGCCTCGGGATCAAGATTCCATGTATCAATAAGAGAGAATGCATGTATGTATTGCCGTTGAAACGTATGTATGTATTTGTGCCTTTAAAAGATTTTTCAATTTTCGAGAAGTTTATTGCATCGCAAGATATTTTGACCAAATTTGTATGTTGTAGAGCCTCATCAGAGCTACTATTGTTCGGAAAAATTTGAAATTTGAGGCAATAGATTTTGGGGGCTGGGGCTTGTAAGTGGGAGGAGGCCAAATGTAGTCCACTGAATAACGCGAGTTAAAATAAATATTTCGAGCTAAAATATGTACGAGGTGTGATCAAAAAGTTCCCAGACTGGTGCCGCCCTGAGCTGAAAAATGGTCCAAACGAGCTAAACTTAGGCTCGTTTGAAAGCTTATACTCTCACGAGTACACTCCTTTTTAGTTTTTGAAAAAATATCAATTGGTTTTTGCACAGTGTCAATTTTACGGAGACGTGTTTGCGTCGCATGGCGATTTTTTTAATTCAAAATAATAAATTTTGAAAAGGGCTGAAAAATGGTCCAAACGAGCTAAACTTAGGCTCGTTTGAAAGCTTATACTCTCACGAGTACACTCCTTTCTAGTTTTTGAAAAAATATTTATTAGTTTTCGCACAGCGTCAATTATACGGAGACGTGTTTGCGCCGTGCGGCGATTTTGTCTGCGAACGAGAAATGACCAACATCCTTTTCCAACTTTGAGGTGGCTGATAAGGCAGGTGCATCCAGCGATCACGCTGATATGAGTCTATCCTACCTCTGGTGTACTTGCACAAGATAAACCACTATTTTTTACCTGAAATGTGTCACTTGGAACGCATCAAGATGCAATTTTTCGAAAAAAAAACGAAAAACTCGAAAAATTGCATCTTGATGCGTTCCAAGTGACACATTTCAGGTAAAAAATAGTGGTTTATCTTGTGCAAGTACACCAGAGGTAGGATAGACTCATATCAGCGTGATCGCTGGATGCACCTGTCTTATCTATCAGCCACCTCAAAGTTGGAAAAGGATGTTGGTCATTTCTCGTTCGCAGACAAAATCGCCGCACGGCGCAAACACGTCTCCGTATAATTGACGCTGTGCGAAAACTAATAAATATTTTTTCAAAAACTAGAAAGGAGTGTACTCGTGAGAGTATAAGCTTTCAAACGAGCCTAAGTTTAGCTCGTTCGGACCATTTTTCAGCCCAGGGCGGCACCAGTCCGGGAACTTTTTGATCACACCTCGTATGGGTGATAGTTCTCCCCTAGGACTGGTTTTGTATTTAATGTGAGGGAAATCGGCCCAGCCTTTTCAGAATGGCGAGCTTTAAACTTTCATGGTGGGCGGAGGAGAAGATGGTCGCAGTCGCACATTAGACCATGGTAAGCAAGATTTTGGACGAACAGTTCGTCAGTGGGGCAGGGGAAGGAAGTTTACAGACAAACATTTCGTTGCTTAGTATATGAGGGAAAGGAAGTTATTGGATAAACTTTACATTATACAGTGGGTCAGAGGAAGGAATATTCCAACTCACAGAATTTCACAAGATCAGCTATAAAAATTAGTAATTTAAATTTTCGAAGTGCTATTATTTTTATACTACACATTATTCCAATAATCTGACTTTCTCTAAATCCAAGCATGATAATTATTCTACATAATTAGTTCATAAGAACAATAATGCATGAAATTAAAGATAACTTGGATAAGTTATTCTACAATCGTACAATTTGTAGGGAACAACAAAATATTAAACAGTGCGCTCTCACTTCTCCTTCCTCTCTCAGTTGGTCTCAGAGGGGTACACGGACCATACTTGGTGCACTTGGTACTTGGGAAAATATTGATTATCTCCATATCTTCCCCCACTTCGTGATTATAATTTTTTTCCAGGACAAATTCCATGAAATGGTCCGTGGAGACAAGACCTACGTTAAAAACCACACAGGAATCATGTCAAAATCACTGCTCTTTGATAATGGCAGGCCATAGCTCACAGTCGGTGTGTTTGGAATGATTGAGACAAATTGGAATTATGGTCTTTTTTGGTCCTAGACAATGTGGATTGTTTTTATTAAAAGGATTTATCATACTTTTTACGCCAAAATTGATTTCAAACTTTATTTTAAAAAATGTCCCCAGGAAAGTTGCCAAATCGTGCAAAAAACGCATTCTAGCACTTCTGCACAATTTCCTAAAATGTGGATGCCGAGTCTACCAGATACACGCTTTGCTTGCGAGGTGACATCCAAATTTTTATTCTTTGAATTGAATGGACTTTATCAAAAGAGGGGGGGGGGGCGGCAAAATCGGCGGTTTTTGAACAACTCTTTCTTCAAAAGGCATACTCCATCAAAAAACATTTAGTTGTAAAATTCTGTGGCAACGTTAAAATATAATAGATGTCTCGATCCCAAAAAGTGATATCCCTTTAAGTAAACCCAACTTTATTTCTACAAGGTTTTATTCCAGTGAAATTCTGGAACATTCTTGGTAAAACAAATGACCGGAAAACATTCTGAAATTTTCATGAAGTAAAATCTTTTGAAAGTAACAAGCGTTTACTCAAGATCATTTTACTGCTCTTTGAGAAACAAATCGTTCGTAATGTTTTTAACTTGGCAGCTTGCTTTTACATTAGCGATTTGATGGAATAAAGCAAGTTTTTGTTGAATATCAGGTAACATCTTTAGAACATTAGTAATCACCATGCTAAATTCAGGTTTGGATTTCCCTGTGGGGCCGATGGGGCAGCCGCCCCAGCACTAAATTTCAGGGTAGGCAAAGTCCGAGCTCAAAGAAGGAGGGGGGGACAAAGACTACAAAGTTGCCCTAAACACCAGTGCATAAGCATGCATGATTCAATGAGAAATGGGGTCCCAAATATTTGTCTTGGTGCTGGTAGTTGCACGGCCATGTGCGCAGCATGTAAAATAATACACTTTTTAAGTTTAACAGTGATCTATAGTCAAAGTGTTTTTGGCCTTGTTAATATGAGTATATTTTCAGGAACTTTGGTTGAAAAAGTTAGGATTTTTTCCGTCTGTGCACAAAATAGAGGCAAAAAACGATTTGCAGCTTACGATACGGCACCTTGTTCCCAAAAAGTTCTGCTAACCTTTGCTCGTGTGGGTAAGGCCGTATGTACGTACGTAAAGAGACCCACCTCTGTATTCCCATTCTACTACCACTTATGGAACATTTGATTGATACTTGTAGATAAAGTGTACTTGGAATTCGGCAATGGACGAAATAACAAGGCAAAATGATGCAAAAATATGTGAATTAGGTATGTGTAGAAATTAAGATCCGAATTTTTGGGCTATAAAAGGCTAACTTTGCTTCTTGGACAATCAATATTTCATTAATTTCTGGTAGAGGGCCCCCAGACCTCCCGCTTTTGGTAAAAGTCCCCCCCCCCCACCGCAGTCAAGATTCATGTAAGTTGGGAACGGTGGCAATTTTTCTGTAGCCCCCAGGTAAGTATGTAAATCCAGGCCTGGCTTGATTTTTGTACTCAATATACAAAAAAAACTAAATACCTAGCTGTAGAAAATGAAAAAAAAGTGGAGAATTTTTTCTACCACTAGGGTTTGAAAAATTCAAGAATTTCAAGGAGCTTTGTGTTGTTTAGGGGAACTTAATTTACTGGGAGTTTTCAGCACTGAATTCTCGTGAAGTTCTCATGATTTTAACTTAATTTGTTACGCACAGGTTTGTAAAACACTGATGAACATGGCTGCAGTTCTTGAACTCCAAAAAAAATCCATGGATGAGGTTTTATTAGTGTATCATCAAGCACTTGATGAAGCCAGGAAAGCTAATAATTTAAATTTAGAGGTCAACATATTGAAAGCCATCATTGCCATACATCAGGAGCATGGATATGATTTCTTAAATGGTATGAATTTCTTTATTAAGCATTGTGTGGATGGGTTGGTGCCATGCTTTCCATGTACATTTTCCCAGAACTACCACTAGGCAACCTGCCAACTGCCATGCTGTGAATGACTTGTGTTTGCCCAACAAGTCTCCCAGCAAATTATGAAGCTCGAGGGCTGCTTCGTTTCTGTGTTCCTTCCCGGCTTTGATTTTGAGGTCATTTTCCAGCTTATCATCAGGAAGTTAAAGAATGCGCTATTTCAAGATGGCACCTGAATTTTTATGTTTTTGTCATTTTTGTTATTGCATTCTGCGATTTTCAAAATCGCATCTTTCTAAGATTAACAACGCATTCAGTGTAATGTTGCATATTATGGTTCCACTGCCGTGTCATTCATTTCAGCAAGGACAGCATGTGTCGTGCACTCAGCGCAGACTTTGAAAATCCAACAGCCATTAGCAGTCACAAATTAAATTTTCCATTTGTGGTCTTCATTGTTATAATTGTATTGCCATTTTGTGGTTGCTTTGGCTGAAAAAAAAAATTTGAAAACCAGCTTCACCATTCCCTGACCAATTTGTTTAAAAACTCGGTATAAACCAACAGCGAAGTATTTTTGCTGTTTTGTCATTGAGCTATTTTGTTATTGTTACGAGGGGCGTTCAATAAGTAAGTTTCCCCCCTCTCTAAAATCAAAAGGAATGGACCAATTTTCAAAAACTTGGGCTCAAAATCTTTCTTAGGATACCGTCAGTTGGTCTAACATGAGCCTCGGGGGTAACATGAGCCGTTTGGGGATTTTTTTTTCTCTTGCCTGTGGCAGCACTGTCGCGAAAGTAAACAACGAAAACAACAACATGATGTGATAGTGGCGTGTCTTGGCGGAATTTCAATGGTATAGAGACACATTTTTCCATCGATAAGAAATTTTTATAAATTATTTAGTTTTTAGAATTTTTTGCCCCTTTTTCTACCTCTGAGACTAACCTCCTTGAAAAGTGACTATCGATAATCACAGAATAATTTCGCCGGTCGCCGAACCTCACAAATACCTCCAATTTTCATGCCCATGCATTGGATTTTGAACATTTTAGTTTTTGACCAATTTTTTTTTGGAAAAACCAAAATTTTGGAATGTTGGAGGTAACTTGAGCCACCCAATTTTCGCAAGTCCTCCAGGAACAATCTATACAGTAATGGTTTTCATGATACATTCTTAGTAAAATTGGCATTCCTTTAGAGCATAAATCAACTCCTTCACGTATCTTCCATATTTACTGTTCGTCTTTTAAGACTTGTATACTATATATACTTATATAAGAAAAAAAAAGAAAAAAACACTAAGAAGTGGCCCGAACTGTATGTAACAAGGTGGAGAAATGGTGCTGAGTCCACACCATTTTGCGGGGAAAACAAAGCTAAAAAGTTCCAAAAATTAAAATTAAAGTCAATATTAATTTTATACTTATATATATATACTACTATAAATAAAAGTGAATCTAACGTAGCCCAAAAGACTACTATATATATACTTTTTAGGAAACTTTGACTGATCTCTCTTGACTTTAGGTCCCATTTGTCTTGTCGGTGTGCCTTTAAAGTAACTTAGTGCTATTGATTGTTAAATGATTTCCTGTTAGATACAAGGTTTTAGATGTTAAATGTATTTGTTCGCCTGAAATTTGACGTAAATTGCAGGAAAATTAAAGTTTTGTACGTTTTTAGCCTGGTTTTTAATGTTTTGTAACTCAATTTTTTTTTTAAAAAACTTTTGGGAGGCTCATGTAAGCCTATAGTAGGCTTACATGTGCCTTTAAATTAAAAACAATAGGGTGGCTCATGTTACCCCACCTTGCAGGTAACATGAGCCACCTCAATTTTTTTTAAAAAAAAAATACCCAGTTTGCTGGAAAATTTTTTCAATGGGCTATTCTTACTCTTCTATGTGGGACTGATCTACAACAAAAATTGATTGCATGAAAAAAAAATTTACTGCAAAAATGCAAAGCCTCAAAGTCAAAAACCGGCTCATGTTAGACCAACTGACGGTATATTGAGTTCAACAAAACAAACCGCAACAAAGTCGAACCATGTGCGGCCGAACGCGAGCCGTTTGAACGCGCCGAGGTGCACACCGCTCGCTCCCGCCAAATCCGCGGAAATTTGAAGTCCGCGACAAGAGAAGAGTTTCTCTGCCAACGCTTCAGTCGTTCATCACTGACGAAAAATCAAAGAAGTTATTGTAGAATAAAGGGCTTACCTCACCTCTTCACATAACCAGCTCGATCCAAGCTGGTCTGATACTGATTGTGAGACTAAGAGAACAGCTTTTGGATACCATGCGTGTGGAGGTCTTTCAACTGGCTGGGGATGAAAGTGTTGACGGCTTGTTTGACCTCTTCCACTGATTCAAAATGAACTTTCCCGAGTTCAGATTTTAGATACGGTAATAAATGGCAAAACAGACCACTATTTATTCCCCTTTAGATCAGTCAGTATTTAGTTAGTCAGTGATGAACAACTGAAGCGTTGGCAGAGAAACTCTTCTCTTGTCGCGGACTTCAAATTTCCGCGGATTTGGCGGGAGCGGTGTGCACCTCGGCGCGTTCAAACGGCTCGCGTTCGGCCGCACATGGTTCGATTTTGTTGCGGTTTGTTTTATTGAACTCAATATATCCTAAGGAAGATTTTGAGCCCAAGTTTTTGAAAATTGGTCCATTCCTTTTGATTTTAGAGAGGGAGGATACTTACTTATTGAACGCCCCTCGTATTTAACTTGTTAGTGACATTATGCAGTTTATTTATAACGATTTTTGTTCCTCAATTTGATCTCATTGTTGACTTTCTAGATGAGACCAAACGAGAGTTGGAAAATGCAAGACGGAAGTTGGCTGCAGAAAATCTCAATGAAGACCATGAAGAAGAAGAAAGTCAAGAAGAGACTGAAGAAGCCATCGAGATCGGTGCTGATATTTGTTTAAGCGATCTAACAGGTACAGTTTATTCATCACATAGATTATACCAGTCTGTTTGTTGAAAGTTTTGTCTGCTTGACAAGAATAAAAAACCGATATCTTATACGGCGCTATGTCTTGTCTTATCTTGCCGACATGGCCAGCCAAAGTTTCAACAATTAGACTGCTGGAGGGTGGGGTGGAGGGGTTCTCTTGCTTTTAACTGTTGTTTGGAATTGTGTCCAAATAAAACAATGACTAAAAAAAAGGAAGAAGAGAAAATGGCCTCAGCTCGAGGTACTTCAGCTTGCTTTTGCGACCTGTATTTGTCGCTAGGTGATATTAACTCAGCTGTCAGCTCGATCTATCAGTGCCCTGAAAAAGCGGACTGCAGTGTTTCCGATATTAAATCCCTAGCGGGGAAGAAAAAAAATCCCTAGATTTCGCTAAAAATCCCTAAATCCCCAGATTTGCTCAAATATCCCCAAAAAATCCCTAGATTTTGCAAAAAACCGCCATTTTTAAAGTAGAATCATGACGTCATTCGATATATCGATTTGCAATATTTAAATCTGATTGGCTCGTTTGAATTTTGCCGCTCTTTGAAAGCAGTGCTAATCCAGACCAATAAAATGAAAGAATATTAGTTGAGTTCTTCTTATTGTCTTTTTACTGTTGAATGCAGTTGAATGTCAAGTACATCGAGTGACACAATCGTTTTAATTTCCGGCTTATTTATGGGGAAAATAGTGTTGTCAAAAAGGCCTACAAAATATAGATGAAAAAATATTTTCGATTGTCGAAGCTAAAATTGAGGTTCAAAAGTCGATTTTTGCTTACTTTACCTCATCAAAAAAAAATCCCTAGATTTCCTGAAAAATCCCTAGATCCCTAGAAATTCCGGAAAATCCCTAGATCTAGGGATAAATCCCTAGACATCGGATCACTGGCGGACTGGGATCCGAGCTGTAGGGCCAACCAAGAGATATCAAGCCGATATATTGCAGTGGTTTGTAGAATTTAAGGATAACCCTTTTTTTCACTGAAAACTTATTTATTTGCGCAAAAAAGAAGAGCGCGGTGGTAGATCAGCTATCTCTCTGCGGCACATGTATGGATTAAATGACTGCACACTGCACACCACAAAATGTATGCAGGAGTCAACCGATTGCATAAACGTGATTCTACGCCGGCTGGATCTCTAGAAGGGACTGATTTTGTATACACATGGTGGCTACTCCGAAGGGGTGCAGGCCGACTCCCGATGCTTTAGGGCTGGGCGCGCAAGTTGACACTGGAGAGGGGATGAAACTGCGGCGCTGCTGCTCATAAGTCGCGGGGGCGGAGGCAGGAAAGGTTTATACTTGCACCCTAGAGAGTTGCCAATTTTACAAGAAACGGAAATATGCGCTCAACATAGGAAAAAAAATGGGATCAAACGCGAAATTCGGCAACTGTTCTCTGCATGGAGAAAGAACAATGAAAAAAATGGATTCCAACTTCCAGATAATCTTTGTTCTTACCAAAGACATTGAATAGAGTAGACCGTGCACTCCCTATCTCCGCCGTGTCAGCTGAGCGAGGCAACGTCGGCGGGACTGCGTAATGGGCGGGCGGGGTGGGAGCTCGCGACTGAGCCCCACGCAGCATGAGCCGGCGTCCCGCGTACTTGGAAAAAGTAGTTGCGCGCTCGGATTTTCGCGATTTACTCGTTTCCACTTCATTTTTTGGCAAAATTTACAAGGACCGCATGTTAATAGCATGAAATTTACTATTACCCTGAACAATTTTCGTTTCTCTACAGTCATTACTGACTGGAAGAAACGCTTCATAATTGAAAATATGAGGAAAGTGACCTGCGTATCAGATGGATGCTCTTACATATATAATGCGTGCAGCTTGTAAAGATGTCGGCGTGGATAAGAAGTAATTTTGTAAAAGGTACAAAAAGGATTTAAAATGAGCTCAGTCATATAAATCAAGGGTAAAAACGAGGAATAGTGTAATGTATGGCACATGAAAAGGCATATAAAAGTTACAAGAGAGTTACTTAAAGCTATTGTCCATCTTGATCTAAGAGAAAGATTTGATGAAGAGCTGAAAAAGAGGGGCAACGATTTCGGCAGTTTCAAAGTACCGAGATTTAAGATTATTCCACTGAAAAAGATAATGTTCAAGCATTATTATCAAACTAATTTGCGAGTCGCAACTTAATGTTACTTAATCTGCTCAAAAATTTCAAAATCAATACTTCAGTCACTTGTTTATGACTGGCGATCGTGGATACTGTTTATTTTCAAAAAGTATGGGTAAGTAATTGCTCTTAATTCCTTTGCATTTTTAGGCGGCTCTGTGACTAACTCGCTGCGCTCGAGAAGGGCTCGCACCTCTTTTTAACGATGTTCCGGAATCTGTGTCCCTCACATTTGTTTAGTATAGTAGTTTCTAATGGTAAATTTCAAGGATTTTTTCCCAGAAAATTGCAGAATCATGAAAAAAAACTCAGTAGAAATTTCAACGAAAGCCATGAATTTCCTTCACTGATGAAATATTCGTAGAGATTTTGAACCACCGCAACCAAGAAGTGCCATTATTGCACCCAGTGCCTCAATTTTTCTGCACATTGCAGTGCAGTGGATTCTATGAAATGAGTTTTTATCATGTCCTTACTTTCCTCTATAAAATTAAAAACACACAGCACTTATGCTATGTTTTCAGCAAAATGCGGAGGGCATTTACTTATTATTACATTTATCACAAATAAATATCACAAACTGGAACAACACTATTTTGAAATTGAAGACACTAAATTGACTACAATTTTCAATGAGGAACTGCTATTTCTGGCTCATTTTAGGAAGAACGAAATGTGCCATTAGTTCATGATCCGTTGTTGTGTCGTGTATTAGTTTCCTGTGTAGTTACGTAATAAAACAAATGAACCAAAAATAGTAGTTCCTTAAGGCTAAATGTAGTCAAAGTTTAAAAATTATCACCGGGACATAATCATTCTTGTCTCTTGCCCGGCTCATCAAGAATTTGGTCATGTAAGCATACCATAAATTGAGAGTTGTGTGGTGTTTAATCATGAAAACTAAAACACATCTTCACACAGAAATATTTGATTATAATCAAAGAACACATCAGCCGAAAATATTCGCACTAATCAATTAAAAATTAAAGATTTTGGAGCCGAACCGTACCAACCTCGTAAGAGCGCACTGTTCGTTTACCGCGAGCTGGGGACGGCTGGGGCTCACTTACCTCACCGGTGCCGTTTCGGTGCTCCCGCACTCATCGGTAGGTGCGGCATGCGAATGGAAGAGAAGTGACCACCGCTCCATTTCACAGCGCACGGTCTACTCTATTCAATGTCTTTGGTTCTTACATCCCTTAGTTTTGCTGCTCAGGGCCAGGTATGTCTACCTTCTAATAAATCTCGGTCTTGCAATAACAGCAAATCGATGACTCCATTTTTCGCTTTTTTTCCTGTTGAAAATGAGATTGTAATTATTTCGTAACTTTCCGGTTTTTTCACACATTATCTTTTTTATTTTACAACAGCCTTTCCTTAGATTATGCGTATTTTACTTTGTGTTTCCCTTACTGATAAAGTTGTTCTTCATTCTATGCGTGTAAACTTGACAGAGTGAGTTAAGTAATGACTTGAAATTGAAAAAGAGGAAGGATTTGACTTTTTCAAAGTTTGAAACAAAAGTAAAGAAAATAATTGAAATCTAAACTAAGTAAAGGAAGAAAAAGAGGCATCTTTTTTAACCAAACTTTTTCAAAATACAAATAAAAAAAACTCTGCCGCTTTTTCCGTGGGGTTGCTGGCAAGGAGGGGACGGTTCTTTTTGTAGTCCGCGCATTTACCGCGGCATGAGTGTATTTTCCGAAGGGTAGTGTCACATTGGGGAATGAAATCATTTACCCTACCCCTCTTGCCACAGATATGTTTCAAGAAACAGTTCCCCTTTGCTGCGCAACTCCTACCCCCCCCTCACCCGTAAAAACGGTAAATTGCAACTATAATGGAACGCGTTGGCCGATTTCGCTGAAATTCAATAGGAAACCAGTCTTAGTAGATATCTAACTACCATCAAAATTTCAGCTCAAAATATTCATTTTTACTCGAGTTATTGCGTGGACAAAATTAAACCTCCCCCCACTTTGACCCCTCGCTGTGCGAAAAGTAATTAACGCATTCCGATTTTTTCTTCACAGTTTAAAAGTACTCTTAGGGGACTATAAACACCAGAAGTTTCGTCTCAAGAAACTGACAAATTAACTGCCGCTCAACGCTCTGAAAACTGAAAAATCCTCACGCTGGCTGAAATACATACATACATACATACATACATACATACATACATACATACATACATACATACATACATACATATATACATGACAGAAAATGAATGACATATATATTCGTGATCTACGACTCGAGATCGGTGCTCTTTACATGCTTCCAGGTCTAGGTCCCACCATGAGGGAGAACGCAATAGTGTATCTTTCCTTTGGAAAATACAATAAAAAACAATGGATGAATCTTTGCCGTGAACCGAAAATCGCAATTTAACCGAAGAAAATAAAATTTTTACATCAACTGACTCACCCAAAAGTATGGAATTTATTTATTTACTTAAAATATATTCAAAATTCAGCAAGTTTGCCGTGCTTTAATCAGATAGTATAAACCATTTGATTTGAAAATGAGATTCCTCTCAAGCGTGTCATTCCTAACCAACATATTTGCAACACCTAGTTTCATTGTTAATTTGTTTATAACTAACCCAGTTAGCCAATTCCGGCTCGCAGAAGGCAGATAGCCGGCTCTGCGAGTGGCCCATCGAACCGCTTTAGGCTTGCTTGCAGCAGGCTCTGAGCACGTTCTACTTCCGCTCTAGCTCATCCTGTAGCGGCCACGAGTCCTCCCGACGAGCGGTCGACAAGCTCTCCGGCAAAGCTTGGCTCAATATGACGGCCACGGGACGGCTTCGTAGATATTGCTGTTCCACGTGTACTTTTAGGCACCGAACGCCAGCCAAATGCCATTTTAGGCTTCATTTGTAAAAATGAAGTCACAAGTGTCATTTAGACAAAGTTATTGGCACCCTTCTACCTACCCACCCTAATTTCGAACTGAGGCCAATTTTGAAGTGAGGGTACACTTCTGCCTCAGTGCTTGACCCTAGGAAATTTAGGAAGAAGTTTTGCAAGATTATGTCAAAAACTTGCATACCAAGGCCGATTTTATTCATCTGGAGAATCCATGTGACCTTGTCATCATTTTGTCGATTTTAGTTTTTCTTTTTGTCTCTTCTTCCTATGTGACGGCAGAAAACGAGGAAAACTTCGTCAGACTCTTAACTGGTCTCAGGCTCATTTTTTTTCAACGGAGAAGTTAGAAATGTAACCTCGACTAGGGTCCTTTTCTATCTTTCCAATCGGATAAAATGCATTCTTCATTACATGAGACTCTATGGAGACGGTATTTTAACTCAGTTTTTTCCTCAATTTAGATAAAATGACAAACATAAGTACATGCCTTCAAGTAGACTCGAGCCAGGTGAGCTGGAAGACGTGCACCCGTGTTTCACGTAATTCTAGTGACGCTCCGCTTTTCGCCTCTGCTGTGTCCAGCAGGGACCATTTATATGTTTTTTGGGGTTTACGCCTGTAGAGTGAATCATAACAAACGAGACGTAGCTCAGTTTAGGCGGACTCATGTTTTATTCAGTGGTGTGGCATGCTTTGCAATCTATTGATGATTCCCAATTTGAAGCCGTGGTAAATAATCAATTGTTAAGGCGTTTGTTGCGGAACACTCTATTTATCGATACTTTTCTATAGGTTTAAATGGCCGATCAATCGATACATCATTAAGCACGCCACGCCACTGGTCTTATTACTTGCTAGAAACAAGTGAGAAAAAACAAGAAGTGGCCCGAACTGTATGTAACAAGGTGGAGAAATGGTGGTGGGTCCACGCTATTTCGCGGGGAAAACAAAGTCAAGAAGTTCCAAAAATTACAATGAGAGTCAAAAATAATTTTTTTTCTCTAATGAGTACCAGTATAAAACTGAGGGGGGGGGGAGTGTCAAAAAAAAAATCACTTTTTTCGGATTTTCCTAGTTTTGTTATGAGGGTTGTTCAGTAGCGATGGTAGATGGTGCGAAGATCAAACTTTCGTGTCATGCCTTGGGTCACATTCATGACGGCGTTTTAATGCCGTCTTGGATTTTGAGGGATGCTAAGTTAGGTTCACTGACGAGTGTGATCTACTGATGAGGTCTAAAAAGACCCGAACCTGTATAAATCTCTCGACATAAAATCAACTTAATATTCCAATGCAAACTGCCTGAGCTGAACACCTTCTCCCCCCTTAGTTTTGTACTGGTACTCATTAGAGTTAAAAAACTAATTTTTGACTCTAATTATATTTTTTGGAACTTCTTGGCTTTGTTTTCCCCGCAAAATCGTGTGGACCCAGCACCATTTCTCCATTTTGTTACATACAGTCTACAGGGCCACTTCTTAGTGTTTTGTTTTTCCATTTGTACGCACAGTTCGGGATATGTGTTTTCTCCCGTTCGGGAGCGGGCGGTTGAGTCTAGATGCGTTCGCATCTCCAACCAGCCTGATAATAATTTTTTCGGGTTTAAGCCGATGTTTAACCGAACTGTGCACAAAAATATGAATTAAATTACAGTGTTGTGTGGTGGGCATTGGACTGTGTGGCAACAGTGTAAAAAGTATTGTATCTTTGCCCTTCATTTTTCAGGTTATGCATGTTGAGTATTACATGTTGCCTCTTCAATCTTTGGGTTATGGAATAGTGTACACATTCGAGTCGGACATATTCAATCACCTTTGCGATCGCACAGCAAATGTGAAGGCACCTGAAAAGGGGTTGAAAAAAATTTGTAGGCAGAAAGCATAAACTAGCTATAGCATAAACGCTAAGCGTACAGTTTTTTGCGGAAATAACTATAATGCGCTCTCTTATATGAAGAGAATAGTGACGCACGCAAGTTTGATATGGATAGCAATGTGAAGGCAACCTTAAAAAATACGAAGGCTGCCTCCAAAAAATTGAATGGGGAGAACTATTTGCCTCCCTGGAGATCCTCCCCATTTCGTTGTAGTCCTATATCTTATCTATGATTACAGATTCTGAAGACAATGAGGAATTCGATCATGCAGTGCGGCCTGTTCGGAAGCGAAATTCACGCTCCTCTAACTTGATGAAGAGGAACGAAAAAGGTGAAACTCCACTGCACGTAGCTTGTGAGAGAGGCAATCTTGCTCTTGTTAAAAACCTCATCAAACAGGTTAGAAACTCACCTGTCACTTCTTTGTTTAAAGAAATATTTCATTCTTTTGCTAGAGATAAAATGTAGCTACCTAGTTGGGTAATGAGAGATACTATGTTTTTCAATTCTTAATAAGTTCTTTGCCAACATTTCTTGCAAAATCGTGTTTGTTAGGCCCATGAAACGTGCCAAAAACAGTTTCCAACCACGGTCTTTGCTGATGGTAGCGTCTTTTATTAATAACACATCGCAGACGTCGCAGACTTCCTATCATACTTGATATACATATCATACATAACAGTAAATGACTCAACGTCAATTTCTTAAAACTTCCGTGAATTTTCTTTTCTGAGCGAAAAAAAGTATGTGAAAACTTGAAGGAATGATATTGATTTGTTCTCCCTCAAAAAAAATAAAATGGGAGCTGAGATTTTTCAACATCGCTAACAATATATCTACGTGGTCTGACAGTTTCACCGTAGATATGTAACAAGTACTCTATTTATCATCCTCTATGGAGACCTGTAGACGGAGCCACTATGAAATAGAATAAAAAGAAATGCTTCTGCTAGTAAGAAATGCTGGGTGCATGGACACTAGGTGTCACTTTGAGAATTACATCGATATTGTCTGAAAAAATGAGGGCGGAATTCGCTGTTTCCCTACCTCTTGCTGGATTATCTTGGTTGAAGGAACTGAGATTGAAGAAAAACACAGTATTTTAGAAAAGTAAATACAGAAATGAACAAGGATAAAGACTCCACTAAGGTTATCTAAGCGCAGCTGCGTGTGAGCATGAGCAAGATAAAATAAAAACACTGAGGAGATTAAAGAAAAACACAGCAGAGAACAAAGAAAAACACAGCAAAATAGATAGAAAAATACAGAATTATAACAAAGAAAACTACTACCGTAGAGATTCTAATTATTCGGAAAATAATCCGCTGAGGTAATCTATGCGTAGCTGCATGTGAGCTTCAGCAAGATTTATCAGCAACTGACTGCTGGAAGTTAGCTAATTGGGCGGGGGAGCGACAGAACGTATGCGTTGGTGTGCTGCCGTGCTAAGGAAAAACACCGTATGAGCCTTCAGGCGTTGCCATATTTTCTTTGATAACCATTGAATTGACTGTAAAAATTCTGAATATTTTTCTTCCAATTTTTCAGACAATTTTATCCTTAATTTATTAAAAAAATATTGGAACATTTTAAGGAAAAATAAGGATAACTTTCTTCAAAAATGCATGTTTTATTCGGGAAAATTTGGCAACTCTCGAATGTTTGTACAGTGTTCTACCTTAGCTCGGTAGTGCTCATCCATTCACAGGAAAAATTTAGTAACCTCTCTAAATTTTTACATTTTATTCTTTGGCAAAATCGTTTATTTTTTTATCGTTATAATCGTATAAATCGTTTATATCGTTCCTTAGCACAGCAGCGTGGTTCGAATGACAGTGGAGCGGGGAATGGTCAAACGTAGAGAAAAGTTTCAGCATAGCGCAGTGTCACCGGGTGGGGAAGAGAGGTAGGGAAAGGACACTTCCCCTCAAGTAAAATAGAAAAAGGTAGAATCAACTAAAAGCATGGTCTAATGAGACTAGATCAGTCCTTCGGAAAACGAAAATAAGACCTCCACTGCGCATGATGTCAGCAGGAGCCCACTCAAGCGGGAAGTTTGGAAATGCATGAGGGGTCATTTCTAACACGCGCTTGCCTATGTACAATCTCCAATAATTACCATCACCACAAACATCCACAGAACCGCAAAACACATCAAAATAAGCACATATCACATCCCCAAGCCCCAACAGTTTACGATTTTATAACCTTAAATGAATCTCTCAGGGAACCTCACTGTCTCCTCATGCAGGGGATCAGAGTGGGTTCTTGCTGACGTCACAGCAAAACTCCGGTGGGGGCGAGGGGTGGCTGTGCAGCTTAGCGGGCCAGGGGATCTGCAAAAGGGCTAACCTAGTCTCGTTAGGTCATGGACTAAAAGGTGGAATCCTTCCACTCTTACATTAATGATGATGATGTCTGCAATCAAAGTTTCATCGGGTCCAGTCATTTTTGTTAACTTTCTGCTAATAACTTCAGTGAAACTCGTAGTTACTTATCAGAAAATTCCTTTGCGGATCACTATATAGTGCATCTTGTCTGGCTCTTTTTTACAGGGACATTCTCTCTCTGAGCATACAGCATCAAGGCTGCTGGCGGTCTAGAAAACGGGAAAAGAAAATCAGGGAATTCACACAAAAAGTCAGGGAATTTAGTGTGTTAGCATTTGGCAGAATCGAGTGTAATTTGAAGTAAAAAAATTAAAGTGGAAGCTTAATTTGACTGGCAGGGAATGTCAGGGAATCCGAAAATGTTGGAGTCAGGGAAAGATGGGGATTTTGAAGATGAAGATCCTGAGCATAGAACAAGCCCACAGCCGTGAATTATTGCAAACCAGACTTAACTTAATTTGAGTGCAATTTTTTTAAACTGCTTTTTATGCTTTATGCTATTCAATAAGAAAATTCGTCATTTCTTATTTTTGCAGTAGCTTTCATCAGAGCCTATAAAATGTTTGAGGCAGAGCCATCGGTGACATGACACTCCCTTGCTTGTTCAGTTAGATAAAAGTAATGTAAAGCTAAACTGTTATCAACTGTGGCTGTTGTGTCATCATTTTAGGGTCATCTCTTGGACGTCCAAGATGCTGCCGGATGGCTGCCTTTGCACGAGGCTTGCAATCATGGACACGTCAAAGTTGTAGAAGAATTAATCAACGCAGGGGCCAATATTAATGATCGAGGTGGACCTGGCTGTGAAGGTTGCAAATTTGTTTGCATTTTTGTTTTTCTACTCCTCAAACATTGCTAAATATTATATTATCTGTGTGTTACGTCTTAATAATTTTTCTTAATACTCTTTGTATGACATTTGCAAAATCATTGTTTCAATCAATTTATTCCAAGAGTTGTTCAAGAAGGAATTGCTTTTTCAGAGTAATTTTTGAATGATCAAAGATAGAGCTCTAATTTTTTATCAATAAGGGACCAAAAAATACATCAATATTCATTCATCACTTATTCCTGCGCAGTTTTTCTATAGGCAAACTAAAAAACTAGGAAAACCCATACTCTTAATGTTCTACCTGCAAGTGGGTAGAATGAACATGCGCCTGTAAATAAACCTCTTTCAACAAAGTTTTAGAAGGAAGAAGTGAAAATAAAGTAACAAACTATTTTGATTTTTGCATGGATAAAAAAATTGAAAACTGAACGTCTGACTATTTTTGACGTAATCATCCTGTAATGGTTCTTTCATGCGCCTAATGTTTGTATTTAGCCTGACAGTGCGGACTTGGTTCTTCCACTATGATCGTCATCATAACATGAAGCTCTAACATGCGGGAATATATATCAAGCAGGATAAACTGATGGTCGTGTCAGTTTACCCCTCGTAAACTGACACGACCGTCAGTTTATCCTGCTTGATATTTATTTATTGTTCAAGAGGATAGCATACTATATAGATCATAGAGAGAATATTGGTAGTAGAACTTCTTTGAACCTTGCGAGGAGGATTGTCAAACAACTTCAAACTAACTTTAGGTTGATTACCATAAACATTAAGTTAAAGCGGCATAAATGTAATGACTTGCATCAAGATAATTGAACTGGTCATGTCATCATGTGATTAAGGGATGATTGTCACCTTTGCACGGTTTCTTTAAAACAATTTACTTACACCGAAATGAGTCGGTAAAGCTTCTCTGATGCCCTTCTGCCAACAAATACTGCTTGGCCACTTGTGACTTGAACCGGCAACTAGTTTTTAGTTTTGAATTTGACTGCAAGAGATTGATTTTCATGTGAATATGTTTTGGGTTGCAGGCATAACACCATTGCACGATGCTGCCTCCTCTGGCCACCTTGATGTCATTGAGTTGTTACTAGATCACGGTGCATCCCCTCTCGTTAGAACAAATAAAGTATAGTAGCAACATTTAATTGCTTTTATGTTCCTATATTAATTCTAATTTAAGACTTGTATCAAGAAAATCTTCTACTTGAGCATGGGTGGTTTTTTCACTCATCAGAGCATTGAAATTGTGGCTCTCATATGTACTGCAGTGATGGCAAGTCTATATCTCGATTCCAGAGCTAAAAAATCTCCAATTAAAATTAGAACACAGGAATGATGGTTGGAATTACTATGCACACACATAGTATGTGCAATATTACCCATAGATAAATCATTAAATACAAATTCAACACAAGTTTGATCATTTTCCGACGGAATTCCCCAATATTTTGAATATTTTTTTTTTTTTTCCTGTTCTTTGGTTTTATTGCATCTTACAAAAAGTAACTTTTTGCCTGAGTTTTTCAAATAAATTTTAGTCTGCATTTCTGTTTAATGAAAAAAACATGGGAAGAAAGGGGAGTATGATTTGAAATGAACATCACTATCATGGGCCAAATGAATTGATCTTACGTGTTCTATTGTCATGAATGAATAGATTTCAAAGTCTTTTCTTTTCAATGCATTTCCAAGCTCTAAACTACTGTTTGCTCTATGTTGTCCTTTATTTTTTAATTTCTATAAATTGAAGGCTCCTTAAAGCTCAAAGCAAGCCTTAAAAGGGGCAGGCTTCAAGCAGGGGTAAAAATTGGTGACCGTTTTTTTAAAAAGTATGAAAACAATTTTTAGAGGTTACTTAAACGTGCCGAAGGGTGCAAATTTGGGAAATGAAATAAGTTATATGTTGTATCTATATTTTACCTGGTACATCTTCCAACATATACTTTTTCAACTTTGGCCCCTTGTATCTCTGAAACTGTTTGTTTACGCAGTCTGAAATTTTTGTATACGAACAAGGGTACCACAAAGTGCCATTTGAACCTTGGCTCAGATTTAATTTTGGGGCCACTTCTGCATAGGCTTTTTTCACTGGGAAGGCCACGAATTGATGATTTTCTTCGGGATTTAACTCCTCGTTTTTGTTCCACTTCTCCCATTTAAGCTTGTGTCCTCTGAAATTTTTTTAATTTTTTTTTTTTTTTTTTTTTTTTTTTTTTTTTTAAACGAGCACTTATTTTTATCCCTTGTAGCATGCTTTGAGCCTAAGGAAGCTTAAGATTTCTCAAATTTCAAAAATAAGGGACATCCTAACCTGCCAGAGGTGGTTCTTTTTAGCTATGACCTCAGTCTGTTGTAAGCTGCAATAGAAGTAATGAAAATTTTCCTTGACATATCCCCTGGTATTCTGTCTTTCTTGTTACATTGAAAGGTAAGTTTGGCCAGCTATCCCTACATTTTTTCTTTTTTTGTTCTTTCTCTCCTTCTCCTACCCCTTCTTAAGTTTTACACCTAAAAATTTTTGTCTCATGTTGTAGGGAGAAACTGTTTTGGACTGTCTGCTAGAATGCCGCAAGCGTGTAGTTGTAGAATCAGGCCACGAGTTGGACCCTATTTCTCTTGCACATTTTGAATCAGTTGTTGAGAGACTAAAATTGTGTCTGGAAAAAGGTTAGTTCTCATTGTATCTCTCTTTTCCCCCCTTATCTATGTATTAAAAGTCTGTGGACTCTATAGAAATATGTACGACTTACGGAATTTTTAAAAAGTTTTAGAATGTTTCTTCAATTCTCAGTTAATTCTGAAAATTTAGTTCTAGTATTTGTCATGGATATTCCATTTAATTTTCAATCGTCTTGTAATGTTTTCCAAGGAAATCATTTGAATGTCACATGACGTGAAAAATGTATTTTGGTCTTGTATGAAAAAGCAACCCAAAAAGTCACAATACTGAAGATCATTATTTACACCTGTCTTTTTTTTAAAATATTACATGCTGTCTACAAAGTAATTACCCACAGCTAATTAGTGATCTCTGATCCAAAGTATAAAAGGGACCCATATGAAGTATTTTTAGTTTAATCATTGAATCCAGTGTGATATATGGCGAAGAATACAATTGCCCACTGGTTTTGCACTAAGTCAGCCCTAAGTTTGCGAAAACTTTTAAAGTTGACATTGTAGTGAAGGAACTCAAGGCAGACTCATTTTGATACAACACTCTTTCGTTAAGTGCATTATTTGCTAATGTTTAAGCTCAAACCATCAAAATACTTTTTATGAGAAGCTTCATTATGTAACCAGAGCAACTGACTCAGTATACTTATTTTAATTTTTTCCATCATGAATGTATTTCAATTTGTATTTTCATTTGTGAATTTGTTTCAATTATATGTTCATCTTTCAGTTGGCGAAAATGTGCAAAAAATCTCAAAGTCGGCGAAAAAAGAGGAAGAAATAACAAAATCCAGGAAGGATGTCTTTCAATTCAGGTCGAAGGAGATGAAGAAAACAGCTGCAGCAACTAATGATGATGAAACAGTAGCTTTTGAGTATCAAGAGACCATGAAGGCGTTACGAAGGCCATTTCCCCAACAGCGAAAAGAACCTGTAATTTGATATCAGTTACTTTTCATTTTTTATTCTATGTGCATCCATGACTGAAAAGCACGAAAATCACAGGCGCGTGTTGTTAAAAAAACGCTAGACTTTTGATTTGTATTCCTCCAAGGTTTTTTAGTACTCAGTCCAAAAATGACCTCCATTTTTTAATTTACCCACCAATTTCATTGAAAAATCGAGATTTTCATCTAAAAACAGGTGGTTTATTGGCTTAAAAATTCCAACCTACTGTCTTACAACCCGTGCATGTGCCGCAGTTAGTTTGTGTAGGTTACTTTAGGATAATCCGATTCGCCAAAAATTACATAATAGGGAGAAATCAAGGTCATTTTTGGATACAGCAGTCGGTACTACAAATGATGGCATGTATTGCATGCATAAAACATTTTCCATCTGTTCCCAATGAGGAGTTCCTTCCAGCAAATGACTTCTTTTGTCTCATTGCAGTAAAATTACAATTTACTGGATTTGCCGGGAACTACCAAAAAAACCCAGTAAGTCAAACAGTCTTTGTCAATGTAAAGGTTAATTTTCTTGGGGCATCAGAGATGAATCTCACTCTTGATTTTTTCCCCCTCATATATCTAACTGGTGTGTATTGCGAAGCAAACTTTAAGAATAGGCACAGTACTCTTCCCTTTCTCAAACGAGGGAAGTAAGAAAATGCTGACCTTACCTGAGTATCCGTATCAGTGGATCAAAATTCTGCTTGGTTACACTTTATCGTGGTGATGAAAAAAATCATGAAGATAACAAGGAAAGAAACATACAGGGGACAGTTCATAAATCTTTGCATTTCTCTTGCCAGTTCTTAAAAATGTTTATGATTTTTAAAAACAAAGAACACTTAGAAGCCTTTGGACACAGCCTTAAGTCTTTGATGAGCATCTTGAGCTTAAGTTTTGTTACCTCCTCAATAAAAGTACAGCGGACACTGTCACCCTTTTGCGTAATGTTCAAGAACAACAACTTCATCAAGAACTCAAGAATATGAATGACTGGTTTTTTCCCTTTCAAAGGTTGTGAATCGCTTCATTCCTTCCGGGCTCTAGATCAGTGGTAAGAAAAGGGACCCAAACTTGACAACAGCGTTTCTTATATATTATGCCCTAATCTTTCATATTGTCTCGTGCATTTTATGTACTAATACTTTCAACATTGTTCTTTAATAATAGTAATAACATAATAATGTACCTTTGTACATAAAAATGTGGATTTTTTTAGAGGGTGCCATCGGTTCAAGCCGTTGATTGATTGCCAGCAGTAAGCAAATTACCAATTTCAAAGAAAGAAAATCATTTGTACCATTGAGTTCTTGATAAAGCATGTTTTTCATAAGCAAAAATCAAAAAGATATCAGTTTACAGAGTAGAAAAAGGGGAGCCTGAGCGCTGCCTGTTGCGTGTAAAAAGCACCCATTTTAAAAAACAAGGCAGTCTTCAGACACAGCTTACGTCAAGCCACATCAAAGCAAAACCTAACTATCTACAATGTTGTAATTTAGCTCAAATACTCTACACATAGCTTCTAGTTTTGCCTTCTATCGGAACTTTGAATGGTACCATTGCATGGTGTCAACAAACCCAAAATCTGATCATGAAGTCAACGATTGTTGACGCCGTGCTCAGGCAGTAAAACGTAAAAATGGGTTCTGAGCATGGTGTCATCGATCCTGTTGTCAAAAAACAGAAAAATATCTTCGTCGCAAGTAAAAAAAAATATCAAGTTTACAGGAGAGGTTTGGGTCACGTTAAATTAGATTAAGTTAGGACAGGTAAGGTTAGACTATATGTAGGTCGGGGAAAGTTTGGTTTGGTGAAGTTGGGTTAGGTCTTGTAAGGTAAACTTGGGTCAGGTTAGAGCAAATAGCACAAGAAAAACAAGGCATGAAATTTAGAAGATGTTATAGCGGGAAGTTTTAAGTTTCCTTGACAGCGTGAACATCTTTCACAGGAGTCAGAATTTGTTATTTTTGGATGATCATAATGTCAACAAAAACATAGAAAAACTGTTTGTTGACACCGTGATCGTTGACATCATGCTACGTAATCCTTCGAACAGTTGCCAAGTAACAGCAAAATTGCCGTTAAAAAGAAAAAATCATGATGTCTCAGAGTCGTCACTTAATCATCACTGCTAAGTCAGTTTTTCCAAGTATGAACACTTATTTTACAGCTCTAATATTTTTATTATTTATCCTTTAACCACTTAATTTTTACATTAAGGTACAAATCAGGTACACCTTATCGTGGGCCTGAACAATAAGCCTTAGCATTAAGGGGTGAGGGAGGGGGAAGAACGCTTAGTGAGGGAAGAGAGGGGTAGTAAGTCTAACATATGTATACATTTTACATTATTTACACACCACCGAGTGGTAGCGGAGGGGGACTAATAACCCAGGTGGTTGGAGGCGTTGCTCCTATCACTGGTGAGTTACTACATGTACTTGGAAAAAAATATTAACATAAATAAATTAATAAATCAGTAAAAATACTAATACTAATACTACTAATACTGCACTTCATCTGGTTTACACTGCCTCGAACTTACTGAATGAGCTCAACGATAATTATATGATACAAACTATGATAATATGGGATCTATAACTCTATAAAGGTACACTTCGCACTCAAGTCAGCTTTTTTCTGACGATTGCAGCTATGGCAATACTGCTGTTCTCTGGATGCTAGATCTTTTTAGATAGGTATTCCCTTTATGGCGCCTGCCGATGCATTTGATATCACACCGTTTGCTCCTAAAACAACCGGTACTGTCTTGGTGGCTTGCATTTCCACATCTGTTATACTTCTGTTTCAAGGCTTTTGTACCTACAGCGCTTCTCAGCTTCCTTCTGCACCACGTTGGAATCCATGGGAATAGAGACGTCAGTTAAAAGACAGGGTCCATCTCGCTGCTTCACGATTATGTCAGGCCTATTTGCTTTCACCTCTCAGTCGGTTCGTATTTCCATGTTCCATAATATCCTAATGCTCCAGTCTGATGTTTGCATCACTGTCTTTGGTTGGTGGTCATACCATTTCTTCGCCTCGACTGGTACGTTCAGCCTTCTGCAGATTTCAAAGTGCGCGCACACACTTTGTCGTGCCTGGTACTGTATTCTTGCTTCGCCAGTTCGGGGCATACCGAACCCACGTGGTCAATTGTTTCATCGTAGCGTCCACACATCCTGCACTTTGTTGTGCCGGAGATTTTATAGATTTTGACACTACGATGCCGCGTTGCCAGGGCTTGATCTTGAGCTGCTACTATCAGGCTATCTGCCTCCCCTTTCAGGTGTCCGTTCGTCAGCCATAATACTGACTTGGCTGCATCTATTTCTTCCTTTGCAATTGTTCTGGGATATTGTCCGTGCACAGGCTTCTGCTACCATTTCTCTTCTAAGTTGCGGCTGATCTTTTTCTTAGCCTCCTTAGTCCTCTTTTGTGTTGCAATAGCCGCTGTGTGGACAACATTCAACTCCGCAGAGTAATTGTCGGCCTGTTTTCAAATGGCCCCTTTGGCTGGGGCTTTTCCATCTTTTCCCAACACCATCCTGATGTAAGGATCTTCTGCTTCACTCCCANGGGGGGGGGGGGGGGGGGGTGACTCGTCGCAGCCTAGGATACCTATTTTGAGGAACCAGGGCAGGGAGGTTGCCTGAAAGACGCCTGCCTAGAGGTTCCTATCCCTAGATGACCGGGGATGGGGGTAATGAGTCAGTTAAGCTCGGGAGGGATTTGCCTGCAAATAGTCGAATATTACAGTTTTCGGTACGAGAAGAACTTTGCGCACGTTAAAATTTCACGAAAAATTGTCTTCGCGGAGATATAACGCTTCCTTTTTAAGGGTCCTTGAAAACATGTTTGAACCGACTGCCGTGAATCATCGAATCTACGCGTCATAGAACGGGAAGATGGCGGCGCCGAAGCCGACCTGCTTACTACCGCCACGCTGCCGTTGTTGACATCACGATTTCTTGTTTGAGGTTGAGTAAGTTCTGTGTGAAACTTTCATATTCTACATACAACTATATCGCATTCTGATCGAAAAGCTTAGAGAATTAAGATCAATGGATATGAATTTCAGACAAAGTAACCTACATGACGTCCAATTGACCAACAAAATCACACCGCCAACGCGACGCCGCCGTGTATTCTTCCACTACGCATTCTGCCGCCAATTGATCGTGACGTGTACATTCGAAACCTACGAGCGCACGGTTGAAACGCCGTTTTAGACCACCCTAATTTTTGGCACTTTCACATAAACTTTTGCAGTCATCAAAAAAATTAGGAATAAAACTGTAAGCTTCGGTCTCTTACTACTTTCGAATGACACAATAAAAAAAATGACTTGACTGACTCATTATGTTGTGTGGGAACAGCATGGGTGTACTTGCACTGTTCCATTTAGTCAAGGACCTTCCGGAGGATTCTGGCAGTGCGTAACACAGCAGACTTCTGGGCTGATAATAGTGAATGCTTCCCAGGGATTTCGTTCTTCAGTTTAGTCCAGTCTTTGGAAACTGCTCCGGTGGCTCCGATCACAAACGGAATGACTCTGGTTTTGGTCTTCCACATTCTGCTGATTTCGATTTCTAGATCTTTCCATTTAAGTTTTTTCTCAGCTTCCTTTTTTGCAATGTTCGTGTCTGCTGGAATAGAAACGTCAATCAGCAGACATGATTGCCCCTTCCTACGTAGAATAATGTCCGGCCTGTTTGCCTCAACAGCTCTATCGGTTCTAATGGGAAAGTTCCACAGGATCGTTGTCTCTCCATTTCTGGTTGTTGCTGTGTTTTTCGGTTTGTGTTTATACCATTTGTCTCCATCAACTTTGATTCCATATTCTTTTCAGAGGCTGTAGTAAAGTTGGGTGCATACTCTGTCCTGACTCTCGATATAGTCCTTTTGAGCTAGAATTGGGCAACCTGATGTAATGTGCTCAATGGTTTCTTCGAACTGATGGCACATTCTACATTTACAGTT